ACAATCAGAGCACTCTAAAGAGCAATAAACCATTTATTGTCTTTTCCATCAAGTTTACCCATATCAACATAAATCAGATCTATTGATTCTGATTCTCTAACCACATATTTTATGGGTCATTTTGCTTGGATACAAAATTTTTATTTATCTCAAGCGTTCGAGAATAATATGGGAATGTGACTTTAGATATTCTAATTCTTTACAAGGACACACACGTCCCAAAAAAGAATCCATCTTAGATCGTCGATCACAGACATGCCTTGGGGCGCTAGTATCCAACAACCATTCTCCCGAGTTACCATTAAGGCTAACCTCTGTCATCACCTAAGCGATTATTATTGCCAAATCCTCTTCTTTAATCAAGTTAACACAATACTATGTTAAACTTGCTCTAACACTTTCGTGTCATATGACCTAGTTTTTCTCAAATTTAATTGAGAAACATAGCGTCATTCTTAGAGAATTGTGTGACAATCTTATGGTTACCACGATGGGTACCATTCTAATTGGTGTGGATCTAGTTCAGCTTGCTGCTCTCATTCTTGAAACTTTAATGTTTCACAGCAACCTAAGTGGTTTGTGTAGTACTGATAATAGTATTTCTTATAATATCGTCATTATGGGTAGTAAACCCATTCTCTTCCCATATATTCTTCACATATATGCATGCATTTAAACAAAATTATTCTACTCCACAACATGTATTCAATTTATATTCTAATCATCGAGGTAATACACCTCAATGTCGACATATATATGCATCAATTCTATCTTACTTTCTCGCATTCAAATGAGTTTCTCAATACCATGCATAGAACTCAAGTAAAATAGATTCTAGCTTATCATTAATCATAATGATTCATAAAGAAGGTTTTAATTCTTACCTCTTTTCGATGAGTCGATGCAATCTCAATTTGCACGAATAGCTAGCGCCATATCTAGCTTCGATCTCTATTTCTCAATTTCCAAACAATTCTTCTTTCACAGCTTGCACCAACCGGAGGTGTAGAAGGTGCCCGTTCCAGCACTTTAGAGGAGCCGCACACCCACGACCTGGATCCACCACTCTGACTCCACGTCATCAGGGTGGATTTCTTCATCGTTCCACTCGGCCTCGTTATTTCACCCATAAGGAAAATGAGGATTAAGTTATATTGGAATTTTACACAACATTAAAACACATGAAGAACCCACGAAACTAGAACTTGCGGGCCCAAATTAAGAAGATCAATTCTTTCAATTATAGCCAATGAAGGACGGATTTAGCCTGGCCCATATTACGTCTAGGTCTAGCCTTTCTTCATCGTTTGGGACTCCATCGGCTCCGAAAGCAGCCTTCTTATTCCGTCCAAAACCATTCCTTCTCCCCGAAAGCTTTGCTCCAATATGAGAAACGCGACCAAGATCAACTATTCCCCGAAAGTTTTCGCCTACATCCGGACGGAAGTTACAACCCTCCATGGAATCCATGGAATCTCCATCATCCGACACTAAAGCTTCCCTTCTTATGGTCAAAAGCAGTTAATTGTTCAAGAACAATTAAATTAACAAGAGCAACTAATTAATTTGCCCGAGACAGAATTGAGGGCACAGAATTTAGGGAACAATTAATTGGACAAAAACAATTAACTAGCCGAGAAGGAAAAGCACAAGATTACTCCCTTCCTTTGCTGCGTGGTCCATGTGGCCTTCACATGAAGTCACTTTAATAATCCAGCGTCCGCCACATAATTCCCAATGCTTCCGTTGACCAACTCCCAGAAGTGAACCAAATCTTGTCTCAGCCTTGAACTCCAATCGTGACAGAAACAACCACCTGCCTTGCGTAATTACTAATTAACCAACATCAAGCTGCAACCTCAATCTGAAAGTAACCGCAGGAGAAGGAGATCCTTTTCTGTCTGATCGGCGAAGGGAAAAGGAAAAGTGCGGCGGATAATAATCTCTTTTCCGAGCGACATAAAGATAGTAATCGATCGAGCCATAATCGGCTCCCAGTTCGGTACACACGACAGCAACCAAACGTTTTAAAATTGTTAGAAATCGAACAGGAAAGTTAGGGTTACCGATCTGGCTGAGTCGCGGACTAGGTCGCTCTCTTTAAGACGTTCGCGGCAGTGCCTTCGTTGCGCACGGCAGACTATCAGCCGGTCGCCTCCAGGATAAAACAGTCATTCTAATTTTGTTGCTCATCGATTTTGTGCGAAAACCGGAGCTCTATGAATTCACTCTCTCTCGTGTTTCTGCTCTCTGAGGTGTGTTTAGAGGGTCTGGGGAGTCTCCTATTTATAGGAGCAGAAAACCCAGAATATTCCCTCTTTTTTTGGGAATAAGTCATATTTTAATTAGGAAGATAATTACTTCCATAATTAAAATATAATCTATTAAGATAATTATTCCTAATTATCTCCATAATATTCCTTTTATTAATTATCCATCTTAATTTCGTATTATGGGAAAATACTGGATAATTAATTAGGAATTTCATTATAGCTTTTCAAAGCTATTCACCCCAACAGTTAGTACACACTATTTTTTTTGCTAAGGTCTTCCTAAGCTTCTAATATCTCAATCAATCATCACCAAAAAGCTAGCCCAGCAAGAACTCAATCGATATGGTTAGAGGTGGCAATTTCAATCCAATCCACCAATCCAATCCATCAATCCATTAAAAATATCCACCTAATCCAATCCATTTAAATCCAATCCATTCGATCCAAATACAATTGGATTGGTGGATTCATGGATTGGATTCATGGATCATTGGCAAATTACGGTTTAGTACCTATAATGTTTATTTTTTACATTTTGGTACCTAAAATTTAATTTTTTATACGAAAAATATCATTGGAAAATTACGTTTTGGTACCTAAAATTTTTCATTGTGACATTTTAGTACCTAAACTTTTTACATTTGACATATTGGTCCTTGGTTGAGGATGTCATTTGGATTCATGGATAATCCACCAATCCACTTGATTCAATCCATGAATCCACCAATCCATTTGATCCATGGATCCACCAATCCACCAATCCAATCCATTTGCCACCTCTAGATATGGTACTGGGAAGCATCTTATATGTTCATTAGCTATTTTCTTGTGAACAACTCATTATTATTTTATTTCACATTACTTGGTGCAAATTTCTTTTTACTTTTGACATGCAACAATAAAAATAATTGACTAGCAAGTTGAAAAACTCAATGAGTACACTGATAACCAACATTCTTCCTTTCTAACCCTATGAAAACATAAATTGGGGGATTTATGTGTCTTCCGAAGACCTATTCTGTTGTAGGCAACAAAGGAGAGCCCGAGGACAGTGACAATTCGTGCGGTTATTAACGCGTCGATTAACAATTGAGAAATGAGTAAAAAGAACATGTTAGACTCATTGAAAATTACGAAAAAGTCGATAATGATAAACATAAAGAAGGCGTAGAGGAATTTGACGGGATATAGCTGGAGAATGCCTTTCCAAATCCAAAGTAGTTGGCAAGAAAAAAAAGAATGATAATTTTGGATTTATATGAAAATCGAGAGACAAATGCTAGTCTCTCTCCTAGTATTTAAAAAATACCATATTTACGATATTTGGAAAATAACACAACACAATTACCATATTTATTTTTACCAAACCAAACATAACATTTCTAGTTTCTACTAAATCCCACATTATGTGAGAATTATATACCAAAATAGCACACCAGAATTTCCGTTCCAAATCACCCATAATAAGGTAAGAAAAAGATCCATGCAGCCTCCACTTAAATACGAAGCTTTAGTCACTACTCACTAGCTACCACATATAGAAAATAACAGTGATAGCAAAAAAGAGATGAATGAGTTGCTGGAAAGTTTTCATTCGTACGTACAAAATCCACCTTCCTTTCCTTTTCTTTTAGCCCCACTGGTGCTGGTGCAGGTGCAGGTGCAGCGTGCAGGTGCACTAGATAAAAGGACAATAACAATTCTTCATTCTTCTATTCGCTGCTCACTGTCGACCTCACAGTAAAAAAAAAAAAAAAAAAAAAGAAGACAGACTAAGAGACACTGACCCTAAACCTAAAACTATACATGAACTTTAGTGACGCAATACTACTATACGCTTTTGTACACGAACTTCCAATTAATGAGAAAATTAAACAATAAAACACGAGATTCACGTTTCCTTCTAATTGCGATTATTTTATCGTGCGTTGCTACTTATTTGGAGACCCCTGCCCAGTGCCCACTATATTTTTAGTACGAATATGAATAATAATAATAATAATAATAATAAAATGTTAATGTCTATTTTTTATCCAAACTTTTTTCATATTCTTTTATAATATCTAAACCTATTAAAATTCTATTAATTAGCCAAATCTTTCATAATGCATTAAAATATTAATCATTTTTACGTTATCGTTAATAATTTTATAACTCTTAGTTAAAATACTAAAATTTTGAAATGCTGACATTCACGTGTCTTTTTCAAGTCAGTATCATGTTGCCAAGTCAATATTACTAACAAAATTGTCAACCGAAAGTTAACATTTGGCTAATTCTTAGTATTTCGTTAGGTTTGAATAATATAAAAGAATCTGAAATATGTTAGGATAAAAAATAGACATTACCCAAAAACAATAACATGTCAGGACATTTTATACGGATATGCACTATCCACCCGGACGGCAGATGTTGTCCTCCCTGTCCACACTTGGGAGGCCAATAATGCAAAGTCCACCTGTATTACATACAATTCAGAATTTCGCCGTAGGCCAAGCCATGCACTACTTTCGTCCCCCTAAAAACCCCATAATAATAATAATAATAATAATAATAATAATAATAATAATAATAATAATAATTATTGATTGCACCCCATTATATTATATTTTATTTATATATATACACAACAACAAAACATTACGTACATACATTCGCACCAGAAAGAAAAAAGAAAAAAGAAGCCTCCCTCCCTCCCTCCGAATCCGATCCGTTTCCTTAAATTGAATGGGGTGGGCGTCGTGGCAATATTTCTACCTCATGCTTCCCCTCCTTGTGGCGATCGCGGCGGTGGTCTACGTTGTTCGCGAGAGGCTCATCGTCGACGGACGACGTCTAACAGTGTTGGTGGTGGATGATGACGACAAAGTTGTTATAGTTCCTGGGACGGTAGTGAAGTACTGTAGGCGCCAAGACGAGGAGGACGATGGGAAATCACAAGAAAGCTGCGGCGGCGGTTGTGCGATATGCCTGGAGGAGTGGGAGGAAGGAGATGAGTGCAGAGTGCTGCCGGAGTGCAACCACAGGTACCATAAGGCTTGCGTTGATGTCTGGCTCCTCACCGCCGCCGGTGACAATCACGGCTGCCCCATCTGCCGCTCTTGTGTTTTTTCCCACTAATAATTTTAATTTTATGATGATGTTTATTTACAAAGTGGCTGGCTGGCTGGCTGCCTGGCTGATATTTGTTCCCATCCTCTCCTCCCTAGCTAGCTACCTACCTACTTGAATAACTTGTTACTTGTAGACATGGACTAGCTCGGCGCATTGGCAAAGGAGTTATGTGTTGTTTCTTCTTTCCACTTAATGTGGTATTTGTTGAGTTAAATAGTTTATGTATTCCAGTGGTAATCGAGTTTAAATATATAATATTTTGTTTGGCTAATTATTTTTATGTGGTATTGACAATAACAAATTAAAGAGGTAAAAGTTTCAAATAACTCGTTTAGATTCGCTTTTACCTTTCCTTTCATCGAAGAAAAATATAGAGTCTATCGGGCCTAGATCGGTAAATGGTCCAATAACCACCCTTCCCTTGGTAGGAGTGAAAAAACCAAAATACTATGGCCCCTATTGGATCGGGGGCAAACGCCTACGAAAAGATCGCTTGGATTTATTCATGCTTCAAGGAAACCTTGGCGAAAAGAACGAGATATTATTTCATAATTAATAAATTAATATGAGTGGTACTATCATTTCTCTTTATAGGCGTCCCGGGTGCCCACAAGAGGTTCATCTTTTGAATAACAGTCAAGAAGACCTTATGAAAATTGAACATTATTTTCTCGAAGATGTAAAACATATATTGGGCATTTTTTAAGTAGAAAAGCATTTCACATTTTTTGGGATGATGAAGAAAATTGAATAGTTATACGAGTGAAAGAAAACTGCTTTGAAATTTGTAGTAAAAAAAGCTTGAGACTCATTTCCTATGTATAGAGTCAATAATTTTCTATGAGGAACTACTGAACTCAATCACTTACTGTCGTTACTCTTCAGTTTTCTGTTGAGGTCTATCCTGTAGAGGTACTCAAATTCGATAAGTGATCGATTTCTAGGTTTTAGCATATCGAATTATATTAGTGTCTAGCATTGATTTCTTCTGTGTAATACTAATCGATAGAGCCTCATTGGTAAGTGCTACAAGATCACGTACATTGGAACAGACATGTCGAGCTCCACATATTATTGTACAGTCAAAAGAGGGCAGAATAAAGTACTTTCAAAATGGGAAAACATGCTCGATAAGGCATGAGCTCGAGTATCATAAGTCTTCTTCTGATGATCGATTCAACCTCGGATCAAAAAGATATACCTTGGTTCTATTTCATCTCTTTAACAAGTTTAGTAATGAGTATAACGGGCCTATTGTTCCGATGGAGAGAAGAACCTGTGATTAGCTTTTCGGGATTTTACCAAAAAGGAATTGCCTTACCTAGCTCTGACGCTACCGACTCCGCCTTTGCTATTGGTATCTCATCTGGTGCTGCAGCTAATGCTGGATCTACTACAGGCTCTTCCATTTGTGGTGCTGGTACATAGGTAGGTTGTGCCGATGAAATGGTTGAGTTATTTTTAAATAAGTCATAGACCAAATAACTCATCTCAGTAAAGTGTTGTCAAACGAGTTATTTGAACCCAAATAACTTATTGTGAGTTATATTAGTCAAACTAACTCATCTTAAGACCTCGTTCAACCAACCATGGCATAAAACCTTCAACGTTCTTTTGGTTTAATATAGATTGGTCTGTAAAATCTTACCATCCTTATTATTAAAATAATATTATATTGGTGAAAGAAATGTTACCAAAATTATTGATTTAGCTAGCATGTTACAACATAATTTGTAACTGAATTTTTAAAAAAAATTCTTCTCTGGTACAAACTAAATTTGTACTTTTATGTTATGATAAAAAGTGAACTTGTAGTATAACATAAATGTACAAATATCTTTATGGTACAAATTAAACTTGTACTTCAACGTCATAGTACAAGTTCAATTTGTACCTCAAAGCATCCTTTAGAGCATACTAGAAGATTCTATTACTCAATTTTATTTAGGGGTCGTTTGGTAGATGCGTATCTAAATTATGTATTTAATGAATGTATGTATTGTAGAGAATGCATGGTTTTTTTTATTGCAAAATAAAACACAATGCATGTATTTGATTGTTGATGTGACATTTGAAATCATTCAAAATGAATGATTTAGAATCTCAACCATTTGGTGAGATTGTTGAGATTGTATTTTGAGATTATGAATAAACTTTTCTTCTCTTTTATGTCCTTATCAACTTTTATATGTGATTAACTTTTATATCTAAAAGGAAGGGTAAATGTGACTTTTTAATTTAAAAGTGATTTTCCTACTACATTCCCAAAAATACAATCACAACTACCAAACATTGCAATCTTAAAATGCAAGCATTTAACCAATATATCAATTTATAATGCATGCATTCATACAATACATCAATTTTAACAAATCGCATATACCAAACGAGCTCTTAGTTCTTTATTGAATCTAACAAATCCAACATCGAAAGCAAAAAGAAAAAAAACGTATATGTGCAAACCCATACACAGCCCCAAAACAAACAATATGTCCCTTGAATCCTCACTCACCATTAAAGCAACGAGATTTCTATAACTTTCAGTCGAACACATATAACAAAATTTCAAATTACAACATCGGTTATAAAATTTGTCCCTTGAATCCTCACTCACCAATAAAGCAACGAGATTACTATAACTTTCAATCGAACACATATAACAAAATTTCAAATTACAGCATCGGTTATAAAATTTCTTTGCTTATTTCATTATTGGATTCCAACTATATACGTCACTCCACACATCCATGTGATATGTTAATGTTATTGACTGTTCTCTGCCAGGCTAACTAAAGGTTGGCAGGAACAGAAGAAAAGAAGCCCATTGAATTTTTGTTCTCCACTCTCCCAAATACACCCCACCCAATGGCCTCTGGCTCTTAGTCATCTCACCATCATGCACACAGTTCCATGGAAGAAGGGGGGGAAAATCAATACAGGCTTTGTCAACCATCTTAGACCACTGACAGCGGCTGGGCCTGGGGAAATAGGGGTTGGGCGGAACTCCACTCAAAAGAAGACAAAGAAGGTCCAACAGTTGAATTTGGTTTCCAAATGCATCATAGAAAGACACAACTAGGATTGCAACTAGGGATGGCAACAAAACCCGAACCCACGGGTACCCACCAGACCCAACCCGATCAATGTGGGTAAAATCAGTGTTGACGGGTTTTGGGCCGAGTTCGGGTTTAAACCCGCTACACTATTTATCGGGTCGGGTTGAGTTTGGGTTTAGGTAAACCCGCCCCATGGGTACCCGCCCACACACATATAATTACTTTCCCGGTATATTTAATATTCTAAATAATATATCTTCCTTAAACAACTAATATTCTTAATATTTGTGGAGACATCTATAAATTATTCTTTCTAATTGTTTAGAATGAAGTTGATATTATGAAATGGAGAGTGAAGAAACTTAGTTGACGAGGAAGAAGTTTTCAATTAATCTTATTGTTTATAGATGTTTATCTTTAATTTTGAACAATTTGTATTGATCATTTGCGGTTTGCTTGTATGCTCTAGATTGGTGTTTTTTGTATGAATAATTTGTATGAGAAAATTGATGTTAAACTTTTATTTTGAAAGAAACTTTTTTTGTAAATTTTTTACCACAAAAACCCACGGGTACCCATGAACCCGCTGATACCCAGCGGGTTGGGTTGGGTTTGAGTTTTTCAAACCCAACGAGTTTTGCCCCGGGTTTTTTTGACGGATAAACCCATGGATTTGGGTTTGACAAAACCCGCCCCAACCCGACTCATTGCCATCCCTAATTGCAACCAAACTCATGACATTGGACATCCGATTGCCTACGACCCAATTAATGTGGAGAATCTCCGCTTTGTCTAGGTATGAGTAAAACTCGCAGAAAGATTGATGGAGATGGGGCGGTTATGATTTTGGACTCCACCGCTCCATACCTATACTCAAACCCTTCCCACCAAGGATATTATGTTATATGCATAAAATATAAGGAGTCTATTGTAACTTGTCAAAGGAATGAAGGATAATTAAAAGAAAAAACAAAGTGTTAAAATGTAATTGATGACAACCAAACCGTAATTTCATTCTCTTATGTATTAGTTCCATAATTTTGGGCGGGTAGTATCCATATTTGTCACCATATTCTTTTATTAATGGTGAGTAGTTGATGGGGCAGGTATTACCCATGGGTATTCGAAAACTGCGGGTATGGGTTTGTAAAACCTTCCACCGCACGGGTATGAGGCGAGTATGGGTATTTGAAAATAGGGATGTGATTGGTTTTAGCAAACCCGCCCCATTGCTATCTGTAGACACAAGTAGGGATCGCAATTACCCACATAGGTAATTCTGCCCAAACCTAAATATGTAGATTCACTATGAGTACGGTATAAGTGAAGTGTATCTGGATTAGGGGTGTCTATTCGGGTTCAGTTTTTGGTTTTAATAGAAATCGAACCTGTTAGATACATTGTTGAATTTTCAGGTTCGGGTTTGTTTCGGTTTTCGGGTTTTTCGGATACGCTTATCTATTTTTGGGTTTCGGCTGAAAGCCCTCAAGGAATAGTAGTTGACCCATATCCTTAGGGGTTCGGTTTTTAGGGTTTCGGTTTTGCTTTAACCGAACCCGAACCGATACCCAAAAACCGAAATTCCTTATTGATTTTGGGTTTGGTTTTCAATGATTTCGGGTTCGTGTTTTTCGGGTTTCGGTTCCTGTAACCCAACCCAACCCGAACGGACACCCTTAATCTGGATTTAGGGGTTTGTAGATGGGTTTGGGTAGAGTATGGATCTTGCTCACATAATCAAAATGCGTATGACTTGGGTATGTATACTAGAGTGTGTCTTAGCTACACATACAAAAATTGAACCTATTTAAAAAAAAAAACTTAAAAAGTTTGGGTATCAAAATGTAATGCACAAATTTTTAGGTACTATATGTAATTTTCCATCTACATTTTGAGGACTTATATGAAAAGTATTAAATCCAAAGATCTATTAAGTGTAGGTACCAACCTGTGATTTACAAATAGTTATGGATATAAACCCAAATCCATTGATTAAAAACTCAGATCTACCCAAATAAATGTGTATGAGTACAAACCCAGTAAAAACTAAGATCTACCCATTTACTATCTACTAGCTTGTACCCGGCCCGTTGACCAAAAAATTCAATTAGATCAAATTACATTTTTGTAACAAATTTGAGATTTTATTTATTCGATGTACGGGTAAGAAAAATGATTAGCTCAAATTATATTTCTGCATCGAATTTGATATTTTTATTTTCAATGAAAACTTTATACGAAGCCATCAAAGGTAACTAATAAATATTATGGGTGCACCTATGTTGACATGCATGTTAACGTAACTTGTACTTTTCGGCCGACCTCAGTTAGGATTAGGTCGACCTAATATGTTGTTTCAGTGTAAAAGCAGTTTCATGGTGCCTACTTTGGAGATTCATATCTTACAATTGGCTCGATGGAAATTGGAGATTAATGTCTTATTTTGAAGCTGGAGTGTCCCTCTACACATTGAAGTGCTTGGGAGCTCGATAGGAAGTCCAGAATACCATTTTGAACTTGATCAAAAGGGTATGCCAAAACTGTGAAACTGCCTGAAAATGGCAAAGTCTGGGAAAGTGTTTGTAAAGCCTACTTTGGAGCTCAATTCGAGAAGCATGGATGACTGTGCAAGTTACGGTGACATGCATGTCACCGTAGCAAAGTCCTAAATCTTATAGTCATGATAATAAACTCATTGTTATAATTATATATTTGAGTGGGGTTTTTAGGTGTTAGATACTAATGCATACATAATAGTTAAGAAAATCCAAACATTATAAAACCCTAAATTTTACTCTACCAATACGATCTTTGACTTTTCATGTGGAGTTGATAGCACAAATTGTCACTCTATTATTCATTTTTCTCAAATCTATCCCTCTACTATTTTCACATGGTCTTGCACTATATAGTATATACGTATTATCAAACTTGCCCTTTGTTATAATTTTCGATAAAATTCTGTTAAATGCGGTCAAATCACGATTGGAAAGGTCGGAAATGACAAATTAAATTTACCCTCCTTTTTATTGCTTATCTTCTCCCTTTGCAATTCCCAATAATTAATAGCCACTATCCTATCATCCATATCCCTTCCGATTTCTCTTCCTCCGATCCAACAACAATTAAACGCAAATTTTCTTGTCTATGACGAAAAATGCCTAAAGACCGACATTTGAATTTCAACCAAACTCTTTGAAAGTCCTCAATTATTGATCGATTTGAATCAATCATAAAAAATGGAACCCAAAATTTTTTAGAATAGCCGGATTTCAAAGTATCAAAGATTGTCAACCTGGTTTAGCCCGTTGGCCCGGTCAAGTAAGTGAGTTGATGATTAATGGTCCAATCATTTTAGTCCGCTTTTGCCCGGATGTATAAAAAAGTCATTATATTGTTCATCCACTTATAAATTACATAGAATTTCATCTACATATAGATAATATTATATAATATTACACCAACATAACAATACATACTTGGATTCGGCATAATGAAAATTCAAACACACTCATATAACATAAATATTCAAATGTTCAATTTAGAATTGTGAAAGTAGGTTAGGCGAAGGGGAAAACAAAAAAAGGCGCAATTTGCAAACCAAAGAGAAAACATGACACCGTGTGACCTCCAACTCGGGAGTCTTGTTGCAGAGTTCAAGAACCAACCCGGGTGTGTGGCGCCCATTTTACTCGCCAGGTGTGGATCAAAGCGAGTTGACAACCGTATCAAACCCCTATTGAAATGAAAAGATGGGAAACCAAAGTTTTAAAAGTTGGCACATCAATATTGGGAGATATATATCTTTTTACTTCAAGAACCAACTCTATCCTAAACGTTTCCACTCCTTCTCCTACAAGCCAAGAATTTAAAAAAAAAAAATTAGTAAGATAATAGCTTTAGATAAACTGATTAGGGCCCAAAAAGAAATAGACATCAAAAGTTGAATAAAACCATAAAGTTGACTCGACCCGTTGGTCGGGAGAGCTTGATATTTTACATATAGGTGTTCCCAACTTTCACACACATATATATGTGAAATGAATTGTTCATTTTCATCGGTATTTCGATTAGCAGATCTTATAAAATACCAAACAACATTCACATAATTTTTTTCAAATCCATTACATCTTTGCAAAAAGGAAGTCTATATCAAAATTCCGTAAAGGATTACATGGGAGTTGCTTCCTTGGTATATATGCACAATCAATTTTCAACAACAAAAAAATGCTTGTCAAATTATGAAGCTTAGAGTGTCCACGAAATAGAGTATCACTAACCAATAAAAAGTTCAATCTAATAATCATAATTTTCTAGTGTAATCTATAATCGATGTTGATTGTGGAGTAGTTGCTGGTTGTGTTGATGATTCTAATGCTGTTGTAAAAGGAGATTCTAACAGATCCTTTGGCTGCAATTATATGAATAGCATCACTGGCATATTTCGAAACAACAACCATAAACCATAATTGGCTGAAGCTTACTATCTATCATACAACTTAGTATGATCATCTAACTAATATTAATCACAACCCATTCATAGGAAAAATAACATTGAATGCAGACCGTTCAATTCCTCTGCTTCTTCAATTGATATGCCATGGCAACACTAATGAGTGATAGGTAACCTTTAAGAGGTGGATGCACAAAGCATTGAAGCCTGTAATCTGGGGTCTCGAAAACCTATAAAGAATAAAAGCCAGCCTATCATAGAAGGTTTTGACAACCCCATGAACATCAAAAGAGTCATTGAAAACCAACAAACAAATGCATATTATAGAGGCAAAGGGAGAACCTCTCTAGAGCACAATGACTTGAAAATACCTCAAACTGGTGATCCAAACTCCACCGAGAAAAATTTACCTCTAATTTAAGCTCTATCAAGTTGAATAGTGATCCAATATCTCAAACTCAACCAAGAAAAGTTTACTTCTTTGACAAAAACGCTAAAATTGAAAACGAAACAGGAAACCAACAGAATGGTTCTTCTCCTTTCTTTGTTTGATGATCTTTGTGTCCCCCTCCATTTCCAATACATAGAGGAGATATCTCGAACACAATTAGAGGTGGCAATTGGATCGGATTCGTGGATTAGTGGATTGGATTGGTGGATCCATGGATCAAATGAATTGATCAAATGGATTGGTGGATTCTTGGATTGGATCAAATGTATTGGTGGATTGATCCATGAATCCAAATGACATCCAAGGCTTGGACCAAAATGTAAAATTTGAAAAGTTTTGGTACTAAAATGTCATAATGAAAAAATTTAGGTACCAAAATGTAATTTTCCAATGATTTTTTCGTATAAAAATATAAATTTTAGGTACCAAAATGTAAAATATAAAAAATATAGGTACCAAATTGTAATTTTCCATTTGGATCCATGGTTTAATCCATGAATCCACCAATCCAATTGGATTTGGATCAAATGGATTGGATTTAAATGGATAGGATTAGGTGGATAATTTGGTGGATGGATTGGATTAGATTCATGGATTTGGATACTAATTGCCACCTCTAAACACAATTAAGCTTGGAGATAGATTACGATCAGCTCTAGCCTAGAGCGAAATATGGATCAATTTAATATCCAAAAGATAAGTATGACAAAATTTTGTTGAGTAAGAACTTAAAAAAAACTAAAGAAAATGTAGGGATTTAGTTCATAATTTACTTGCAAGTTGCAACAATAGCTTGACACTCTCCAAGGATCGTCATGTAGTTTTCATTAGTAATGAATATATTCCTTTACATGCTCCAAAAACAGGAGGCTCAAGCTGCTAAGGTACACAAAATAGCATCTAATTCTCTCTAATATTTTGTTCTTCCCTTCCCAGTGATATCTAAATAGCAGTGGGACAGTTTTTGTTGAGCAAAATATGCAGGGTTTCGGTTCATAATTTACCTGAACAATAGTTTTACACTCTCCATGGACCAGCATATAATTGCTACTGCCTATGAATATAACCACCATAAGTGAATTTGCAACACTAACTCTTCACCATTTTCACTTGAAGGGGAGAACATGGGAGAAAACAAATTAGGGGCAAATAAAACTTGGGTAAATCTTACATTTTTCCCACGACATTGCAGTGCCAAATCTTGATTTCATATCAATTTTCAGCAACTCTAGATAATGGAAGAATGACCAATCTCTTATAGCCTGAAGGCTGAACCTCATAAATCAATCATCTACAAAGAATCAATAACCTACAGGTTATTCGACTTCCAAAATCAATTTCATTTTGGGTTTAATGATATACAAAGCAACACTCTAAAATCAATCATCTATAAAGAATCAATAAGATCACAAACATAGAAGAGAAGGAAACATGCACATTGTTTAAATTTCATCCAAGAAGAAGAACTGGGATCTCTTCGGGAAGAGGAGGTGTTCCCTTTTGAACCAAACCCACTATCATAAGGAAAGAGAGCATTAATATCCAACTCATTCCCAACTTGAAGAGAAGTTGGCTATAATATTAAGCAATCAGATCGAAAAGATTAAATTAAGTCATACAACTAAACATAGATAATAATAATCCTCTCTTGTAGATGTGTCAAAAGCTAAACATTGATATCAGACAATGAATTCATACACAAACAATGATATCAAACACATTTAAAGTAAACATTCAGCTCCCATCAGATCCTCAAAGGAAGAAGCTCACCTTTTAAATTTGCTAGCAGGAAGGGACCGACTCGCTACTTCAACCATTGTATATGTGATGCCTTCCACTATCCTGTTTGTTGACTGTAAGAAACCAGTATGAACATAATTATAATAAAAAGTCTGATACATTATAATGAAGAACTGCAGAGAGAATTGTTTTGTGAGATTATATCATACTGAACATGGTCAATGAGTAGGCAGGTCATGCTACAGTGATATCAAATACCAAAATTTGGTTCATATTTAAATGGGATTGTTCACACTCATACACAAACAATGGAACCACCCTGCTTCAATAGATAAACAACGAAGAGAGAAGTCTTCATACTAATACTGCAATTAATTAGCATCAAGTAAGTGGCCCTCCTATTCTACACGACATACATGGAATCAATCCAACACCAGAGCATATGAAACCACATGTTCACAAATCTAAAAAGAAGCATCGCACAAGCAGGGAACAAAGAACTAAAACACTAATTGAAAGCACATAAGCGGCTGACATGAACTGAACCTTACTGCTAAGAAGGGAGAAAATACATACAAAATGAGAAACGGCTCAGGATCTATCACACAACAAATAAAACCAACAAAAACTTAGGCTAAACCCTAAAACTAACAAAAAAATATCCGAAAAGAGAAACAAAAGTACTTACCAAAGGAGGTAAACCTTCCCCATCGTCGACTGTCATTTTTGCCGGCAAAACCTCGACTACATGCGGCAATGGCAGGGGAGTTGATCGTCGAACGACTCTTTTCCCCTTCTCCACTACTCGACCAAGAAACAGAGGGGAAGAGGGTCAGAAACTACAACAAACCAAAAACACAAACATGGAACAAAAAGATTTACCTTTGACCTTCACCGTCGAGGCCACCATGATGTTCGTCGTCAGCGTCACTTTCTTTCGGAGGGAATTGATTGCACCTTTTATTCCATGCTTTCATTCGTTCCAGGAAATGATAGAGAGCAAAGGATGATTGGGAGAGGCGAGAGGGAGCTTGGATTTGGTATCGGCTCCCTTTCTGGAAGAGATGAGAGCGAGAGAAGGAGATTAGAGACAGAGTGGGATGAGAAAAAAGAGATCTAGATGTAGGGTAACACCCGCCCACCAGATCGCGATCTTTTCCTCCGAACTGATTACAAATCACGTTCTTCTTCTCCAAGGAAACTAAAGAGAGAGATTTGTTTAATACGAAACTAAAGAGAGATAAATGGGAACGGGTAAGTTTGGCTAGCTGGGAAAGAGAACTGGTTCAATTACGAAATTACCCCAATTTGGAAATGAAAGGGAGAGCAGGAAATTTAAATCCCTGAAAAGTTGTCAAAAGTGTGCAATATATTAATGGTGAATTTAGATTTTATACTGATGAGGACATCAACACCAAGGCAATCACAAGTCCAGCTTTGGTGCAAGAGGAACGTGGTCCAATCACTAGAAGTCAAGCCAAGGCATTCAAAGGTCGACTTCAAGCTTATTTGGCAGAGCATTTTCCATCTTTGGAGTCGAATTCGTTCATGGGCCAGGAGGTCAATGTCATCCATGATGAGAAAGAAGGACATTCTTGATGCCCAAGTTGGCCACACATGGAAAGGCAAAGGAAAGGGGAGAAAGAAGGACATTCTTGATGCCCAAGTTGGCCAAACATGGAAAGGCAATGGAATGGGGAGAAAGAAGGACATTCTTTATGCCCAAGTTGGCCAAACATGGAAAGGGAATAATTAGTGGCTAAGAATCTTCCATTAGCATTAAAAACAATATGTTAGAATCTTTTGGATATTTGTTTCCTTCTTTAATACCTATTAGTTTCCTTCTTAATTTTGTAACCTCTATAAATAGAGGATGTTATGCCTACGGGAAAAGGAACCTTTGATCAATGAAAAACCCTTATTTGAGATTTCATTCTTGAAACTCTTTTATCCTTCTTAGTCCGTTCGTGGAATCGAGCCGTCTAGAAGAAACCAACGTTATCAACTAGCTCATCACCCTAGTTGTGGAGTCACTTCGTATACTTGGCCCTCTGCCCAATTGTGGCTTTGGTTTGAGTTATTTCCGCCCCTTTTGCTCTTTGTTTTGCTAATCGATCTTTGCTATGTATTCTGATTGTTTAAGTACAGGAGTTAGAGCCTCAGCTTATATCAGGTGGTATCAGAGCTCCGGTTCAAACACAGTGGCATACGTATCCCTCCTTTCTTATGCGAAAATCAACCAAACAGGTTTTGTGTTCTTAAACGTCGCCAAGAAAGGTTATTTTTTGTTTCTTGGTTGTTTAATTTCATTCTTGATTGTAACGTGCATCTGTTGGAAAAGGTCGTTCTAGAAAATACAAAAAAAAAACCAAAAAAAAAAAACAAAACTAAACGAGCTTAAAAATCAGAAAGAACAGCTCAGAAAAGACAGGTTCAGAGGCCAGATCACGCAAGTTTGTGTCTTTATCAAGTTTTGTGCATTCTTGGTCGAGTCTTGATTGTGTTAGTTGGGTTCTTGAGATTTTTTTGTGACTCGAGCTACTGTTTATTGCTTGTTCTACTTGTTGACTAAGAAGCTCATCTAGGGTTTCTGAGAGCGAGTGGAAAGAGGCTTCGTGAGTTCAATATCGGGTAAAAGCCAATTCTGTTGAGTGAAACACGAGTGGTAAGAAAACGAGTGATCTCATCCGAGTGCAAGCACGTGAGGGAGTGACTTGTGAGGTCCTTTGTTTGTACCATTAATCTGAGACTTTAAGTATTGACGAATAACTTCTTGTTTCGAGTATCTGAACTAAATGGCAAGAGAAGGAGAAATTCGCAACAATCAGGAAGTCCAGAACCTGGAAGGCATTCCACGAGCTACTATGGATGCTTTTATGGGACGCCTTACCCGGATGATGCAAGGCCAGCAGGATCAGATTAACGCTCGCCTCGATGAAATGGCCCAAGCTATCAAACTCCACCCCGAGGAGGAGGACGATTTTCCACCACCACCGCCGGGTGGAAGGCAAGGCCGACCTCTGGGTCCCAACAATCTCATACCTCTACGAGGACGAGGAGTTAGAGGTCGAGGAGGAAGACCCCCAGTTCACGCTCGTAGAGCTCCCGACCCACATGACTATGAAGAGTACTACGAGGAGGAAGAGTATCCCCCAGCATAAGGATGATGATATGAGGGGACTGAAGGTGAAGGTGCCATCATTCCAAGGGAGAAGTGACCCTGAAGCTTACCTCGACTGGGAGAGAAAGATGGGGTACTTGTTCGAGTGCCACGACTACTCCGAACGGAAGAAGGTAATCATTGCTGCTCTTGAGTTTTCTGACTATGCCGTTATTTAGTGGGACCAGTTGGGTGCTGAACGGAGGTTGCACGGAGAAGAGCCCATCACGACATGGCATCAAATGAAGGCCGCCATGAGGAGGAGATTTGTGCCCGTTCATCATCAACGAGATCTGCATCAAGCTCTTCACTTGTTGAGACAGGGTGCGAAGAGCGTAGAGGATTATTTCAAGGAGATGGAGACATTGATGATTCGAGCTCGTGTCAATGAAGATAGAGAAGCAACAATGGCTCGATTTCTCAATGGCCTTAATCGGGAGATAAGGAAGGTCGTGGAGATTCACCATTATGTGGAGATTGAGGATTTGGTACAGATGGATACTAAGGTTGAGAAGCAGCAAAAGGGAGGCTATGCAAGAAGGGTTGCACCATCCATGAGTGCTTCCTCGAGTGCAACACGAGCCCCATTTGTGAAGAAGGAGGATCCTAAGCCAGTGCCCAAGCCGATGGCCACCAATACTGGAGAGAAGGCAACTACTAACATACGTTCGAGCTCTATTGTGTGTTACAGATGCCAAGGTCGAGGACATGTGGCAAATCAATGTCCGAACAAGCGTACGATGATTTTACTGGAGAATGGTGAGTACCAGTCCGAGCCAGAAGATGGAGAGGTCGAGACTGAGAAGGAGGAAGAAGAAGATGAGGAATTTCCAATGCAAGGCAACTACACCTGTGTAGGCCGGCGACTTCTGAACGTACAACAAAGAGAAGAGATTGAGCAGCGGGAAAACCTATTCCATACTCGTTGCTTGGTTAATGGGAAGCTGTGTTTGATGGTTATAGATGGAGGGAGCTGCACCAACGTTGTTAGTTCTGACATGGTGGCAAGGCAAGACTTGAAGACCATCAAGCACCCGCGACCCTACAAATTGCAGTGGCTGGACGAGGATGGAGTGATTAAGGTGACACGTCGGTGCTACTAAGCTTTGAGATTGGGAGATACAAGGATGAGGTACTCTGTGACGTGGTACCCATGCAGGCTGCCCACATACTCTTGGGACGTCCATGGCAATTTGACAGAGCTGCCCAACATGATGGCAAGACGAACAAGTACACTCTGTCTTGCAAGGGGCGAGCACATACCTTGGTGCCAATGACTCCCAAGGAGGTCTATGAAGACCAAGTGCAGCTGCAATGACTCCGTGAGCAAGAGAGGGAGCAAAAACACGAGTTGAGAGAAGATAAGAGGGAAAATTCGAGTGACCCTACCCTAGTGAGTAAGCCACGAGAGGAAAACAGAAATTCCAACGTCGAAAAGAAAAGAACGACGACTGAAGCTCCAGTGAGAAGAGAGAATTTCTTTGCGAGTGGAAGTGAGATTAAGCAAGCTTTGAACACCCAGGAGTCGATGATCATGCTCCTTTACAAGGAGACACTTTTTAGCTCTAATGACCTTCAGGCTTTGCCTAGCAGTGTTCAGCTTGTTTTGCAGGAGTTCGAGGATGTCTTCCCTGAGGAAGCTCCCAAAGGGCTCCCGCCCATCCAAGGGATCGAGCACCAGATCGATTTCGTTCCTGGTGCTTCAATTCCAAACAAACCAGCGTATCGAACCAACCCGGAGGAAACCAAAGAGCTCCAACGGCAGGTTGATGAGTTGATGGAGAAGGGCCATGTTCGAGAGAGCATAAGTCCTTGTGCTGTACCCGTCATCCTTGTACCAAAAAAGGATCAGACTTGGCGAATGTGCGTTGATTGCCGGGCCATCAACAACATCACGGTAAGGTATCGACATCCTATTCCTAGATTGGATTATATGTTTGATGAATTGCATGGTTCTAGTGTGTTTTCTAAAATAGATCTTAAATCTGGATACCATCAAATTCGAATGAAAGAAGGTGATGAATGGAAAACGGTCTTTAAGACGAAACATGGGTTATATGAGTGGTTGGTTATGCCTTTCGGTTTAACTAACGCACCTAGCACGTTCATGAGATTAATGAACCATGTTTTGAGAGCTTTTATTGGAAAGTTCGTGGTAGTCTATTTTGATGATATTCTGATTTATTCCAAGAACTTAGATGACCACGTGAATCACCTTAAAGCTGTTTTGGAGGCTCTTCGAAAAGAGCAATTGTATGGTAATCTCAAGAAATGCATGTTTTGCACTGATAAACTTGTGTTTCTGGGATTTGTGGTGAGCTCGAAGGGAATTGAGGTGGATGAGGAAAAGATTGAGGCAATTAAAGCATCGCCCACCCCAACTAATGTGAATGAGGTTCGAAGTTTTCATGGTCTTGCAGGGTTTTATCGACGGTTTGTAAAGGATTTCAGCACCATTGCTGCGCCTTTAACCACAACAATTAAGAAGAACATGACCTTTCAATGGGGTGAAGCTCAACAGAAAGCTTTCGAGCTTTTGAAATATAAACTAACCCATGCTCCTTTGCTGATGTTGCCTGACTTTTCTAAAACATTCAAGATTGAGTGTGATGCCTCTGGTATAGGCATAAGTGCTGTTTTGATGCAAGAGAAGAGGCCAATCGCTTTCTTTAGAGAAAAGTTGAGTGGGGCTGCCTTGAACTATCCCACGTATGACAAAGAGTTTTATGCTCTTGTTCGAGCTTTAGAAACATGGCAGCACTACCTCTGGCCTAAGGAGTTCGTGATCCACACCGATCGTGAATCCTTGAAGTACTTGAAGGCACAACATAAGTTGAACAAATGACATGCTCGATGGGTAGAGTTCATCGAATCCTTCCCCTACGTGATCCTCTACAAGCAAGGTAAGGAGAATGTGGTTGCGGATGCCCTTTCTCGCAGGTATGCTTTGATTTCATCTCTTGATGCTCGATTCATTGGGTTTGAGCATATCAAAGAGTTGTATGTCAATGACCCTGATTTGGGTGAGATCTATGCGGCTTGTGAGAAGCA